TATCAACGGACTCTGACCCGGCTCAGCCCTAAAGTGCTCGGTAGCCAAGACCCCGCCGGAAACAACCGCCCTGCTAGCCTGCCTCAGAAGAGTGCAAGGCCTCCCAACCGAAGGGAGGAAGAGTCGGCATGGTCCAACGACAGTCACCAGCCCTCTTAGCAGCACCATCGCCACCGAAGGTATAACCCCCAGGACGAAGGCGGGCACTTCGACCGTCGTAGCGCCCACTCAAGGGCCGAGGGCAGATGCCGCACCTCTCCCCTGCCAGTCTCGGACCTCCGCGACGTCCTGGATGACCGCCMTGCCAAACGAGAGYCGCGGTCCTGCCTCAGAGTACTTCAGAGTTCGTGCCAACCTCCGCCAGGCCCGCCAAGACAAAGACAAGGAGAAAGCTCCAACTGACCCTCGGATTGCGGAGCTACGAGCCAAGCTCGGAGCCGTCAGGGACGAGCTCCGCCAAGTTTGGGAGAGCCGAGCTGACACCTCGGCCGACCAAATAAATCCGACGAGGAGGATGGACACCTTCACCCTGGACATCATCTCCGAGCCTCTCCCCCAGCACTTCAAAGCTCCCACACTGGAGATGTACGGTGAGAACTTAGACCTTGACGACCACCTGGAAAGTTTCAAAAAGCTCATGATACTCTATGGGTATTTCAACGCCTTGACGTGTCAGACTTTCCAGGTCACTTTCAAGGGGGCCGCCCGTCATTGGTTCTCCAGTCTCCCGCCTCGGTCAATTATCTCGTGAGAGCAGTTCGCTAACCTGTTATCCTTGCTCGCTTCATCAATAGCAGGCGATGCCAGAAGAGCATGGTCTCGCTAATGTCCATCAAGCAGAAACAGGGTGAGAGTCTGCGATCCTATATCAACCGCTTCAAAAAAGATCTCGAGGTCCGTGACCTCAACCCCATGGTCTCCATGTACGTTGCTATCAACGGACTCTAACCCGGCTCAGCCCTAAAGTGCTCGGTAGCCAAGACCCCGCCGAAAACCAAAATGCAGTTCCTCAAGAAAGCCCAAAAGTACATCGCGGCCAAGGAGGCTTCGGCTGGAGACCACCAAGAAAGGGAAGCCAAGCACAACAACAGACCCCCGGAGAAGAAAAGGAAGAGCGGAGACCATCACAACAACAACAACAAGGACAACAAGAACTCGTCGGCCTTGGCCTTGGCTTACAGTCAATATACGCCACTCAACTCCACCAGGACCCAGATCTTGATGCAGGTCAGTAAGGACAAGTACGTAAAGTGGCCAGAGAAAATGAAGAGGAACCCCAAGAGGGGAAACCCGAAAAAATATTGCAAGTACCACCGCAGCACCGGCCACGACACCAAGGACTACTACGAGTTAAAAAATGAGATAGTGTCCCTCATCCAACGAAGGCATCTTAAGCAATTCGTCAGAGGCGAGCCCGGTGCCTCATCCTCCCAACAGCAGCAGCAACAACAACACTAGCAAGTAGTCGGCATCATCGACGTCATCGCCAGGGGAACGACCTTGGCCCGCAAGGCCTACGCCAGATAGTTGAGCATCCATAGGCCTGCCCCCAAGAAGATGAAGCCTTAGGAAACTCTCGCCTTCATGGACGAGGACCTGAGAGGGGTTACGGTACCACATGATGACGCCCTCGTGATCTTGCCCATCATCGCCAACTTCATAGTAAAGAGGATCCTCGTCAATAGTGGCTCCTTGGCCGACGTCCTCTTCTACGAAGCGTTTGAGAAGATGAAGATAGCGCCCGAGCGCCTCCATCCTGCTGACGTTCCACTAGTCAGCTTCTCCGAGCGCATGGTCCTTGAGGGTGGCTATGCGCGTCGGCCTTCAGCCCTCAGCCTCGGCACACCCCTCTAGCCTTCAACCCGCCCTCAGCTTCGGCTCCCTTTGGAAGCACCTCGAAGCCTCAAAGCCCTCGACCGTGTCCCAGATCTCAGGAGTGAAATTACAGTGTTGCCCTCAGCCAATCCGAGCGACAACAGATACTATATAATGTCATGAATCAAGAAGCTCTACAATCAACTTCTGATCCTAGCAATTTCCTGTTTAGTTTCCAAAAATGTTTGATGGTGTTCACCCAAGCTACTATGTTGGGAAAAAATG